GTGGCCTCATAGAATGAGGCCACCATCACCCTGATACCAAAACCAGAAAAAGATACTACAAAAGAAGAAAATTGCAGACCAGTATCACTGATGAATATAGATGCAAAAATCCTCAACAAAATACTAGCAAACAGAATCCAACAACACATTAAAAGGATCATACACCATATCAAGTGGGATTTATCCCAGAGATACAAGGATTCTTTAATATATGCAAATCAATTGATGTGATACACCATATTAACAAATTAAACAACAAAAACCATGTGATCATCTCAATAGATGCAGAAAAAGCTTTTGACAAAATTCAACACCCACTTATGATAAAAACTCTCCAGAAAGTGGGCATAAAGGGAACCTACCTCAACATAATAAGGTCCATATATGACAAACTCACAGGAAACATCATTCTCGATGGTGGAAAACTGAAACCATTTCCTCTAAGATCAGGAACAAGACAAGGATGTCCACTCTCACCATTATTATTCAACACAGTTTTGGAAGTCCTAGCCATGGCAATCAGAGAAGAAAAAGAAATAAAAGGAATACAAATTGGAAAAGAAGAAGTAAAACTGTCACTCTTTGCAGATGACATGATCCTATACATAGAGAATCCTAAAGATACCACCAGAAAACTACTAGAGCTAATCACTGAATTTGGTAAAGTTGCAGATACAAAATTAATGCACAGAAATCTCTTGCATTCCTGTACACTAATGATGAAAAATCTGAAAGATAAATTAAGGAAACACTCCCATTTACCACTGCAACAAAAAGAATAAAATACCTAGGAATAAACCTACCTAGGGAGACCAAAGACCTATATGCAGAAAACTATAAGACACTGATGAAAGAAATTAAAGATGATACCAACAGATGGAGAGATATACCATGTTCTTGAACTGGAAGAATCAATATCATGAAAATGACTATACTACCCAAAGCAATCTACAGATACAATGAAATCCCTATCAAATTACCAATAGCATTTTTTTTTTTTTTTACAGAACCAGAACAAAAAAATCTTAAAATTTGTGTGGAGACACAAAAGACCCCTAATAGCCAAAGCAGTCTTCAGGGAAAAAAGCGGAGCTGGAGGAATCAGGCTCCCTGACTTCAGACTATACTACAAAGCTACTGTACTCAAGACAATATGGTACTGGCACAAAAACAGAAATATAGATCAGTGGAACAGGATAGAAAGCCCAAAGATAAACCCACGCACCTATGGTCAACTAATCTATGACAAAGGAGGCAAGGATATACAATGGAGAAAAGACAGTCTCTTCAATAAGTGGTGCTGGGAAAACTGGACAGCTACATGTAAAAGAATAAAACTAGAATACTCCCTAACACCATACACAAAAATAAACTCAAAAAGGATTCGAGACCTAAATCTAAGACTGGACACTGTAAAACTCTTAGCGGAAAACATAGGAAGAACACTCTTTGACATAAATCAAAGCAAGATCTTTTTTGATCCACCTCCTAGAGTCATGGAAATAAAAACAAAAATAAACAAATGGGACCTAATGAAACCTAAAAGCTTTTGCAAAGCAAAGGAAACTACAAACAAGACGAAAAGACAACCCTCAGAATGGGAAAATATATTTGCAATGAATCAACGGTCAAAGGATTAATCTCCAAAATATATAAACAGCTCATGCAGCTCAATATTAAAAAAAAAAAAGCCCAATCAAAAAATGGGCAGAAGACCTAAATAGACATTTCTCCAAAGAAGACATACAGATGGCCAAGAAGCACATGAAAAGCTGTTCAACATCGCTAATTATTAGAGAAATGCAAATCAAAACTACAATGAGGTATCACCTCACACAGGTTAGAATGGGCATCATCAGAAAATCTACAAACAACAAATGCTGGAGACGGTGTGGAGAAAAGGGAACCCTCTTGCACTGTTGGTGGGAGTGTAAACTAATACAGCCACTATGGAGAACAGTACGGAGGTTCCTTAAAAAACTACAAATAGAACTACCATATGACCCAGCAATCCCACTACTGGGCGTATACCCACAGAAAACCATAATTCAAAAAGACACATGCACCCCAATGTTCACTGCAGCAGTATTTACAACAGCCAGGTCATGGAAGGAACCTAAATGCCCATCGACAGATGAATGGATAAAGAAGATGTGGCACATATATACAATGGAGTATTACTCAGCCATAGAAAGGAACGAAATTGGGTCATACGTAGGGACGTGGAGGGATGTAGAGTCTGTCATACAGAGTGAAATAAGTCAGAAAGAGAAAAACTAAAAGGTACAGATGAACCAGTTTGCAGGGCAGAAATTGAGACACAGATGAAGAGAACAAACGTATGGACACCAAGCAGGGAAAGTGGTAGGGGTGGGGGTGGGGGTGTGATGAATTGGGAGACTGGGATTGTCATGTATACACTGATGTGTATAAAATTGATGACTAATAAGAACCTGCTGTATAAAAAAATTTTTAAAAAAGGAAACCAAAAAGGCAAGTAGAAAACTCCCAAATAATTAGAAATTGAATCACACAATTCTAAACATCCCATGAGTCAAATAGGAAATCATAGCAAAAATTAGCTAAGGATTGAATGGATTAAAAGTGAAATCAGAACATATCAAAATCGGTAAGACGCAGCCAAAGAGGTGCTTAGAGGGAAATTGTTAGTGGGGGGACTAGAGGCCAAGGGAGCATGGGGCTGAGCGTCTTTGACATCCCCAAATTCAAGGTGTTGCCGGTTCTCTCTCACAGGGGTGTCTTTGCAGTTGGTGCCACCTCCCCGTCTGTAGAATGAGTCCCCACTGGATCCCCAGCACAGCTCCCTCCAGCTCCTTGACTCTCACTGTGGTGGTAATTACTAACCCTGCACCTCCCTTCGCCACGACGTTAGGAGCTGGCTGTGGTCTCGGCCTCTGCTGCCTGCCAAGGGCCCGAGCCAACGTCCTGCTCATCCACCAGGAGCTCGGGAGACGCGAGCTCCACACCCGGGATCACCCCTGACTCCAGGGCAGGTACTTACACTTCTCCAGCTGGTCCCCGATCACCCTGAGGAAGGCCACGGAGATCATGAGCAGGTTGATGACGAAGCAGGCCTCACACAGCTTCCTGATGGTGGGGCCACACAGCCCTCCGACCACGCCCTGGTAGGTGGCCTGGCCACTGACGGAGGCGGCATAGCCCAGGATGACCAGCCCACTGATCAGGAAGACCAAGGAGACCTGCATAACAGGACCATGGGGCCAGGTGTGCCCACAACCGCCCCCCAGGATGCTGATACCACTCCCTCCGGGTCTCACCTGCAGAGGCCACGGCTGCCTACAGCCTAGGGCCTCTACCTGAGAAGCGACCAGCCCCCTCCCTTGAAACCAGAGCCGCAAAGCAGGTGGATTCTAGAGGCCGCACTGGCTCTATGTCTGTGAATCTGGGGTTCCCACCACTCCACACCAGTTGGACAAATGAGGCATCAGAAACTCAGTTTAAATTACTTTCCTAAGATCACATGCGTTGCAGGTGAAGAGCCATAAAGCATGATGGTTAGGAAGCAGGCATACTTGGGTTCAATTCCAACTCTGCCACTCACCTGCTCTGTGGCATGAGGCCCACCATCAACCTCTGTTTTCCCATCTGTGAAATGGGGATGATACCATCTACCTTACTGGAGAGTTGTGATGCATTTGCTTTAAACAAAGCACATAACTCACTCAGCTCAGTGCCTGGCACGTGGTAACTGCTCAAGAAATGATGGTCATTCTTATTCTCTAGACTCCCTCTCCAGTGCTCTGTTGGAATTTTTTCCAACACTGAAAAATTTTCAAACATCTAGGAAAGTTGGAAGAATTTTACAATGAACGCCATGTACCCACTACCTAGATTCTACTAGGAGGAGATCACTGTGCTTATTTGATCACATCTCTACCATGCGTCCATGTGTCCATCTAAACTTGGGGGTACGTTTCAAGGCAAGTTGTGGATATTAATTAGCATACTTCCCCCTAAAGATTTGGGCGTGCGTATCGTTAATTAGAGCTTGATGTGTGTTTACAGTCCCTCTCGTAAGATAAAATGTACACACAGTGAAATGCACAGTCTTAACTGTATATCAGTATATCACTGGAAGGGGTATAACCAACGTACATGTGCAACCTAAACCCCTACCAAGACACAAAATGTTACCACGTCCCCGAAGTTCCCTCCTGTCCCTTCCCAGTCACTTTCTGTCCCCGTGCCCAGAAAAAAACCACTCTAATATTTTTCGGCTTTTAGCCATTTTCTTATCTGCCTTTCCACCGAGTGGTAACGTTTGTGAGGGCCAGCCCTATCGGGCACATCGGTAAAGTTTATTCCTATTTTTGCCAAGTGCTATTTCACTGTGTGGACAGAAGCACAATTGGTTGATCCAATCCCCTGTTCCCAGACATCTGGGCTGTTCTTCGTGTTTGGCTACTATGAATGAAGAGCTGAGCATTCTAGAAGAAGTCATTCTGAGGACCCACGTTTCCTTCTCCTGGACACACACCGAGCAGTGGAATTCCTGGGTGTCAGGGTAGATGTGTGGTCAACTCTAGCAATTTCTTACAAACTGCTTTCCAAATCATTTGCGCCACTCGACAACCCCCCCACCGCCCCCCCCACCCCCGCCTCAACTGATGCATTTGAGACCCACTTGCCCCACGTAGTTAAATGTTTTTGAGCCTCTCCAGGATGGACAGCTACCTGTCCCTAAGCTGGACCTGGTCTCCACGGCCAAACGCCCCTCCCACACTTCTATGGAGGAGAACAACGCAGGAGCTGTGAGCTGCTCAGCCAAGAAGCTCGGGAGAGCCAGCATGGCCGTCTTCAGACACAGTTCGTGCCCCTGAACAGCAGACTCGTTCTTACGCCAGCAGCCACAACTAGGGCTGCTGAAGGGAACTTCAAACTGGACCGCCTGAGAGAAACTTGAAAGTTCAGAGCCAGGAGGAACATGCACACTCCCTCCAGCCCCTCGACCTCTGCCCATGCCGGTTCCTCTGCTTGGAACACACCCCCCCCCCCCCCCTCCCCCCCCGCCCCTCCCCCCGCTCAACCCCCCCCCCCCCCCCGCCTCCACCACTGTCCCTCACCTGGGGAACTCCTATTCTTCCCCCCTCCTATCCAAGGTCACCTCCTCCAGGAAGCCTCCCCACACTTCACCCCCGAGGTGGGCTCAACCCTCCGCTTCTGGCAGAACCACACCTCTCGTGGGCCCACTTTTTTCCCCATGGTGGGTCGAATCCCCCAAAAGGTTTGTCTACATCCTCATCTCCAGAACCTGTGAAAGGGACTTACTGGCAGCCATCTTGGCAGATGCAAATAATGAACATGTAATTAAATGAAAAGGGTCTTTGCAGGTGAAATTAAGGATCTTGAGACGAGGTCATTCTGGATAAGCCAAGTGGGCCTTAAATCCAAGTGTCCTAATAAGAGACAGAAGAGGAGGAGACACAGAGAAAGCCATGTGGCGATGGGGCAGAGACTGGAGTGACGTGGCCACAAGCCAAGGAACGTCTGGAGCCCCCAGGAGCTGGAGAGGCGGGAAGGACCCTGCCGACACCTTATTTCAGACTTGCAGTCTCCGAGACTGGGAGAGAATACACTTCTGTTGTTTTACGCTGCCCAGGTTGTGGTCCTTGGGTGCAGGGGCCTGAGGCCACAGCCTCACAACTGTGCATACAGTGTGAGGATCCCTGTCTTGCTCATCCACCAGACTCTAAGCTCCATGGAGACTGGGATCGTGTCTTTTTTGCTTACCGTTTAGCCCCAGAAAAGCACCCGGAACACAGCAGGTGCTTCGTAGGTATTTGGGGATGAAAGGAAGGGAAGGGGGATGGGGGGTCAGGCCGAGCCTCTGCCAGTGAAGGTGCGTTCTCTGCTAACGCAGTGAGCTGTCCACGCAGGAGCGGCTGACCCTCGAGACGGTCCCTGAGCCTCTTAGCAGCCAGTGAGCAAAGAGCCCTCACAGCCCCTGGCCAGGCGCGCCTCTCTTTGGAGCCGAGGAGGGTCCAGGCTCGTTAATTTCATTAACCCTCCGGTGCTCATGGGGCCATTAGAGACCTAAAACCTCACACCACTGACCTCCCAGTGGCAGGCATCTTTAAACATTCCTCTTGTCCGAGGGGAGGCCTTGTACCTGGGGACAGGACAGAAGTCTCACTGGCTAAGAGAAGGGGAGAGTCAGGAAATGATGGGGAAGTTGCTATTACCAGCCTGACTTCTCCCCTTGTCGGGAGTTTCCACTTATTCATATTTGGGGTCCTCTCTCCCGAAGGCTGCCTGCCTGCCCAAGATGGGATCTTTACACCATCCTGTGCAAAGAGCAAGCCACCCCAGCAGCATCCGTGTTACCCGGGAGCCTGTCAGAGATGCATGATCTCAGGTCCACCCAAACCTGGGCAGTCAGCATCCGTACTCCCGAAAGGTACCAGGAGACCCCGCACGGAGCCTGCGGAGTGGCGCGCCACGTCCCTGCCTCAGCCCTGCCTGGCGTCCTCGGACTGGTCCGTCTGTGCCTGACCACGGACCCCCATGCGGGCCCCATCCGCTCTATCGCTGACCCTTTGCGGCTGGAGGTCGGGCTCCCTGCTCCAGAAGCGCGGCCTTTCTGCCGCACACATCCAAACACCGCTCTGTTGCCCGTTACGTGCACCTGGACAAGCTGGGGCTCAGCGCCGCCTTGGCGGGGGCTTCTCTGCCCCCCTCCCGCTCCCACAGATGTCATCCCACCTGTCACGCTGCCCACCATCTGACACTGTGTCATTTGACTTCTTGAATCTTGTTCGAGTTCCCTGTTAGAACAAGCTTCACAAGGACGGAGACCACAGTGTCTCAGCCACCCGGCGCCAGACAGGCGCTCAGCCAGCATGGGGGTGGCACAGGTTACACCAGACACTACACAGGGCAGCACATGGCAGCTTCCAGAAGGACAAGAAAGGCCCCGTGGGCCCACCAATGGGGCCATTATCAGCCAGCTGCCAGAAAAAAGCACTCGAGGTGATGCCCGTCAAAGAGCTTAGCACGAAATGCCTGGTTCCTATCAGCTCAAGGAAAAGCCTGCTAATAACATGAAGTTGTGCTCATTGGTAGCTCTTTCCCGCTGAGGACGGTCGGGCCCTGGAACTTTCCGGGAAGGGAGAGAGTTCAGGCTCCACACGCAGCCAGCAGAACTGGCCAAACGCCGCTGACGCCCTGCAGGTTGGAGGCGTCACGGCGGCCTCAGTCCGTACCCGCCCACGAGATTTGGGCTTTCACTGGGGAGCCGAGACCGGGAGGCAAGAGAAGTCAATCCGTGGCTCGGAGACAGCGCCTCCCCAGCTGAAAGGCCAGGTTCATTGGCTACAGGTGCGGAGCGCTCCGCAGGGACCCAGCGCGCTTCTACCTGCCCCCCACCCCCACACACACACCCCGCCTGGCTGCGAGGCCCTCAGCCGCATAGAGGATGCTCTCGGCCCCGGGTCTACAGGGGGATTCCCTCCTCCCTTCGTGAGCTGAGCGGGATGGAAAAGCAAAAGCCACAGGAGTAATTTCGGAGACAGGCAGCTCTGCAAAAGCAACACCCAGGGCTCTAGCTGGCAAAATAAAATTAAGCTCCTACCTGCCCCCGGAGACCCGCCCCCTGCCCCAAAATGCTCCCCACGGGCTTACCAGCTCCACTAGGAAAGCGGGGGCCACCCCACCCGCCTTGTGGAAGGCCCACGGGAAGCTGAGCAGGCCGGCGCCCAGCGCGGACTTCAGGAGAATGAAGACAGCGCCCAGTGAGGACAGACTGCGGCGGGCGGCCGTGGGGACCGGCTTTTCCAAAAGGCCTCTGTCTCCTGGGGTCTGTCCCTCCATGGCTAGAAGCAGCAGAGGGGCAGAGAGAGGGGGTGGTTCCGGCACTGTCTTCCCAGTTCACGGCACCCCTCTCCAGCTGGGATGCGTCTCTCCTCGATCCAGCCAGAGCCAGGACGCCTGTCCCAACCCCCCCAGCCTCTGTACCCCTCTTCCCGAGCATCTGCTCCCCCCTTTCCAAAGCGTTATGCAACCACCTGCCCCCTAGCTTCCGGTCCTCACGCCTTTCCCCTCAACCAACGCTGCCCCTGCAACTTCCAACCTTGTTTATGGGCACTCTTGCCCTCCCACCCCCTTTCTGTTCCAAATCCCCAACTCCTTCCTCCCCATGGCTGTTCTCACCCACCCACCCGCCTCCGGGCCAACTTCCACAGCGAAGGGGCTCCAGCCCCTGGTCCTTACCACCAAGTCCAATCTTCAAGGCGACAGACAGTCCTGGGCCATCAGGGACGGGGACTCGGGCTCACTTCAGAGGACCCAGAGGGGTGGGAGGAAGGCTCTAGCTCCACCGGGGTGGGCAAATGCGTCATGAATTATGGGAGCCCTAGAGAGCACGTGCTGGGGTCACGTCCCCGAACCTAGGAGGACACGGACAAGAGGTCGGGGCCATCCGTCCCAAGAACTCGTAGCTTCTGAGACCTCTGGCCTGAGCACGGGAGTCTTAAGACTCCCGGGGGCGGGGCCTTCCCAGCCGCCCCGAGGGTTAGAGGGAGCTCAGCTGGGAGAAATCAGGGCGGCTGCACCAATCTCACCATCTCCAACGCCTCCTCCCGGGATGCCTCCCAGGCCCCCTACCCCCATCTGTCACCTGCTACGGGGACCAGCCCAGTTTCCCATCTGCAGAAGGGGGTCCGTGTGCCCTCCTGGGGCGAGGGGGGCGTGCTGTAGACTCACGCATGCAAAGGCTCTGGAGAGGCGCCCCGGGCAGACGAGCACGGGAATCATCTGGGGTCTTGTTAACAGGCAGGTGCTGATTCGTCCCACCTGGGGTGGAGCCGAGACTCCACGTTTCTCGCGAGCTCTGCGGAGGTGGGTGCTGCCGGTCCCTGGACCACACTTTGAGTAGAGACTACCTCTCCGACCCGATACAGTCCGCTAGGACGGCAGAATACTGGAAACAGTTCCAACCCGGAAAACACAGCCCCGTGAAGGTCGGATCTTGAATTCAGAGGTGAACCTGTTTATTCCTGGCGCCCAGCTCAAACCCCCCCGAGAGCATGTTAAAACACCGAGTGTGGGATCCATCACCAGCGTTTCTGACTCAGGGGGTCCGGGGCCCCTTCCTGAGAACTGCTGCTGTAAGTTAAACATGTTCAACGCCTCCCCCAATCAATCAGTCCTTCTCCGTCGAGATCAGCACCAAAGGCTTTGCTCGTGTGGTCTCAAGCCCCTGACGGTGCCACCTCCCTGCAGCGGCTCCGTTTATACTTTGCGGGCTCTGCTCCATCTGCTGAGTGGCCAGCCTGTCCGCGGGCTCCAGGGGAAAGGGAGCCCGGAGCTGGACGGCGTCGCGGGCCGCAGTTCTGCTGCAACCATGTGAGCGGTGCTCACCGTGACCCAGGCCTTGCAGCAAGCGCTCCCCGCGTCCTCACTCTGAATCCCGAGGGCTGTCACCGCGGTCAACAGAGCGCAGGGCTCCCGCGGGTGGGGCAAGAGACTCAAAACGTGAGCGCTGGCCAGGGCCAGGTCCGGAAATCAGCCCCGAGTGTGTGTCATCTCAAAGCCAGCAGTGTCACGCTGGTTCCTGCACCCGCCCGGGCCCTGATGGTGCCCGGATGGGAGCGGACACGTAAGGCAGGGAATGAATGGGTGAGCAGACGGCAGGATGTGAGGGGCTGGGGCGCACCCCTCCGGAATTCACATGGCTCTCTCCCCCCACGTCCACCCCAGGCAGTGAGAAAGGAGATCAAGGGCCCTCAGAGCGGCCTGGCTTTGTACTCCTTAATCTCGGCTCTGGGCGCCCGGGGCACAGCCCTGCCCCGCCTGGGTCCCTCATTAGCTGTCCATTAACGTGCATGACTTAGAAATTGGCCACTGGGCTGTGAAATTCCACTCAATGGGGGAAACTTCTTAATTCTGAGGGGCTTTGATTTGCACTCTGCCCAGTCTCAGGGCTGTGTGACCTTTCCCGGGGAGGAGAGGTGCCTGTGGGGCCCCATCTGTGTGGGTGGGCAGCCCTGGTGGCACACGGGGCTCAGCCCAGCGCCCCGCACACGGCCCCGTGTCGCCCCCCAGGGGAGCACCGGTCAAGGGATGTTCCAGGCTCCCTCCTTTCCATCACCACAGGGTACTGGTCACCTGACAGGTTGGGAACTTCAGGGAGAAAGTGACCTCAGCTCATTTCCGCAAACCTTTGTCTCACCCTTTAGAAAGTTCTGGAAGACAGACCGGGGCAGGGGTCGGGGGGTGGGGTGGTCTCAACAACCAGAGTGCCTAGGACTGAGATCCAGGCCTCCCTGCGGTCCCCTGCGAAATGGTGGTAACAGCCCCTGTCTACCCCGCAGGGCCCTTAGGAGGACCCAGTGAGAAGAGGGTTGCTGTTGTTGAAATACGCACGGGGCAAATCCCATGACCTGTACATGTCTGCGTTTCTACCTCCGCCGGCCTCTGAGCTTCTAGGACAATGCTCTGAACCTGGGCTGCACAACACCCGAGGGACCCTTCAAAGTGCCGGCGCCAGGCCCACCCTCAGAGCTTCGGATGAAGCTGGTCTGGACGGGCCGGGCACCCGGTTTTCTATAACTCTCCCCAAGAGGTGTTCACGTGCCGTGTGGAGGAGGAGGGCAGCCCTGTGCGCCTGGGCTCACGGCCCCTGCTCAGCCGCAGCTCTGTGCCCCGGCTCGGCCCTCAGAAGCAAGGGAGCGCGCATGTGACTGGGAGGGCAGGCAAGTGCACAAACCTCAAGCCCGCCTCGGCGGACGCCGGGGCCTCGGGGCATCTGTAGGATCAGGAGGGAAGTGGTCTGAGGCCTGCGCGGCCTGGGCAGGGAGGGGAGGCAGGCAAAGGTGACGGGGAGAAGGCACGGGAACCCGGAAGCACGCAGCACAGGACGGCGCTGGCTACCGCCTGCTGAGATGGGGTGGAGCCCCAACAAGGGCTTGACGAATGAAACTAGCTGGCACTCCTGACAGTATTTTCTCGTTTCTAGTTTCATATTTTGATCCCAATAAGCAAATACCACCTGTGGGCCAGCTGTCAAGGCAGCCACAGGCCCAAGACTGTTAACTGAACCTGCAAGATATTCCCTCGGGGGCGCACAGAATGACACACGTGGTTACTTACCATTTAGAATTTTTAGGGCTTTTGCCTAGGACAAGGTCAAGCAGGGACTGCTTCGTCTTTTCTTCAGCTTTGTGCCCTGGCTTGGCCCTCAAAAGGCGGCTTAATAAATGAAAGGTGGAGTGAACCAGACACTGCAGGAATAAAGCCTCACGTCTGCAGATACAGGAGCTCGTGGACTTTTCAGGGCGACAGTTAACCTCTGCGGGGAACAGGCGCCAGCGCAGGGGCAGGAACCCAGTGCGGTCGGTGCGCAGACTGGCGGCTCCCAAAGATGTCCTCACCCTCGTCCCAGAACTCACGGCTGTGTCACCTGGCCAAAGGGACTCTGCAGACGAGAGCAAGTGCAGACCTTGAGACGGGGCGAGTATCCTGGGTGGTCTTGGTGAGCCCTAATCACCATCACAGCGTCCCGAGAACAGGGACACAGCGGGGTCAGAGGGCAGAGACGTGCGGACCGAAGCAGAGGGTGGAGTGGTGTGCACTGCAGGTGGCGGAGGGGCCCCCCGGCCAAGGGATGCGGCGCCTCCAGAAGCTGGAGAAGGCCTGGGAATCAGTTCTCGCCTGGAGCCTCCGGAGGGAACCAGCCCTGAGTTTAGTCCCCCGAGACTGATTTTGGACTTCCAACCTCCAGAGCTGCATGCAGGGGATAAATGTGCTGTTTCAGGCCACTGCTTCCTGGTAACTGGTTACAGTGGCAGCAGGAAACGGACACACCCAGCATCCTGAGTGCTGGTGGTCGGGCACCTCTGAGAGGCTGGAGGCCCATGGCGTCCCCACCCCCCGACCCCCCAAGCTCAACAGCAGGGGTCTTTTCTCAGCCGCAGAGCAGAGGTTGGGGGCCTCCAGGTGACACACAGCCCAAGGGCACAGGCCTTGCTGTCCCCTCCCTCTTTTTGAAGGGCTGGTGCCCTGAGTCATGATCCGGAGTCCCACTCTGGGTGAAGGAAAAGAAAACTGCACCTTGGATTGGAAAGTGGAAGGGAGCATCTTCACACAGTCTTAACGTTGACCCTCCTCCACCCACTGCATCCAAAGGAAGAGGCACCCGGGAGGCGTCAGCGGCCAGACTGAAGGCTGAGTCACAGGGCAGCGGGTGGGCGCCCAGCCCTGCAGGGTGTTCGTCCCCTGGATCCTGACCCCCAGATCCATGCTGACGTGTGGTCTGGGGGGCCGGAGAGCCTCTCCCCGTCTCCGAGCGGGGGGCTCCCACCTGGCCTGTTCACAAGAATCCTCTGGGGAGATTTGTGTGGGGGTTTTCTGGTAAAAGTACATGAAATTCACCATTTTAGCCCAAGTGTGCAGTTCAGTGTCATTTCATGCACTCATAAGGCTGTGCAACTGTCCCCACTGCTTAGTTCCAGAACATTTTCAACAGCCCAACACGTCCCCACCAGCAGTCACGCCCCATCCTCCCGTCCCCCAGCCCGAAGCAACACTAACCTGCCTCCTGTCTCTGGATTTGCCTGTTCGGGACATTTCGCCCAGACGGAACCCTACACTATGAGTGTAATGTTTGCGAGGCTCCTCCACGCTGCAGCGTGGTCAGAGCTTAGCTCCCTTAGGGCTGACTAGTATCCCACTGTCCGGATGGTCCTGCTGCTGTCATCCATTCATCCATTTGATGGGCACTTGGGTAGTTTCCACCTTTTGGCTACTGTGACTCATGCGGCTATGAACTTTCACGTACAAGTTTTTGTTTGAACACCTGTTTTCAATTCCTTTGGGTCTACACCTAGGAGTGGAATAGCTGGGTTGTATGGTCATTCTGTTTACCTTGGGGAGCTTCTAGAACAGATTTCTAGGTTCTTCCCAAGGAGCATATGATTTAGTTAAGTCTACAGCAAGGCCCAGGAATCTATGTTTACGGCACTCGCCTGCACTGCCCTCATGTTACCAGCAAATTAAAACAACATTCTGCGTGTTAATATCCTTTTAATGGCACCACCGTTTAAAAAAAAAAAAAAAAAAAAATCAAAAAATTTTTTTTCTCTGAATACTTACTCTACATATGGCAGTCCTTAACTCACTTCATTTTGTAGCCAGTGAACCTAAGTAGCACCCCCATTATTACCAGCAAGCGGGCATCCTTCCCACCATAAGGAAAGGGGAAGCAGTCTGGCACTGGGGGCTCAGAGCTCAGGCCCAGGCCAGACCTGGGCTGGAATGCTGGTCCCACCTCGGTTTTCTCATCTGAGAAATGGTGGTGGGAGCATCACGGGACCGCTGAGGCCCCCAGATCCCACAGTGCACGCAGACTTTGCCAACACCACGCCAGCGGTGCGCCCAGCAGAGGGAGCACGGTTGTTCGAGGGCAGGTTCACCGAGCACAGACCTGTTCTGGTGGGAGGTCCTCAGGGTCCTCACGCCCGAGAACCAGAGGGCTAAGTGTATGTGCAGGGAAGACCCTAGCTAGGCCCATCTGCCGACACAGGGCGGGGCTAAGGGTGGGCAGCTGCAGGTGTCCTGCTGCCCTTATTTCTGGCCCATCTCCACGCAGTCAGGGTGCTGCCTGGCTAGATGAGCACGGTTAGGGACCAGCCCTGCGGCCCAACCCCCATGCCCGGCCCCTCGGGGACCCCAGGGCCCCCGAAGACTCCCAGGCCTATCTGTGGTTGTGCTGGGTTGGCTCCTCCTGTTTCTGGTTTTTAAAAGAAATAGAGCTGTTCCCTAGAACAATGAGAGCTCACGGCAGGGCATGAAAGGGACTCTTCGAAGCAGTGAGTAGGCCTTAGGCACATCTGTCACCGTGAAGGGACCCGCCACTGGGACAGGTGACATAACTGAGCACTGGCTCTGTGTCCGGCCCGGGGCTGTCCGATATCAGACAAGGCCCACGGGCATCAAGTGGCCAGGTGGGAACTGGATGGATCCCAGGCGGTCTGAGTCTACAGCCAGGGCCCTGGATGGTGACACCCTCTCTGGAATGTTCCTCGCAGGTGGACCTGGTGTCCCACCACAACACCCGACAAGGCCTCCCTTCTTGGACAGGGCAGCACACAGCAGACCCCATCGACTGGTCCTCCAGAGAGCCCATCCCCTTTCTGCATACGCTCGCCTCACTGAAGCCCACTCTCCAGCTCGGTCTCACTGCTGCTTCACCACCTCCCTCCTCCCTGACTGTCCCAAGGCAGGCAGCTCCCAGTGGGACCGTTCTGGCTGGCAGACAGGAAAGGATCCACACACGTGTGACCCAGCTGTTCACGGCAGGCAGGTCCTGTGTCTTCGGTGCTGCTCTGATGCTCCCTTCACGCTGGGCTGCTGCTGACCGGCACCTGTACCTGACCCCCACGCAAGGTTCCCTCTGCAGCGGCAGGAACCACAGGGCCCTACAGCTCTTGGTTCCTTAACAACTCTCCTGTGTTGTCGACCTGGCCTCAACGTGTGGCCTGGGGATCCATACTTGTCCATCTCTGTCCTCGTCCTGTCCCAACTACATGACCCTACAAATGCCCACACCCAGAGGACACACGTGTGCACCGAGGCTGCTGTAAGAGCACTCGAGGCTGTGCCAGGGGCTGCACCAGCTGAAGGGGATGCTGGTCTCTGGAGAACAAGTGGGGCAGTGACCAGCCTCAGCACAGGGAAGGGCCAGGAGCAGGAAAGCTGGTCCCCAAAGCAAGTAACACGTGTAGATGCAGACCTCGAAGGCTGGGCGAGGGGTCCTCCCAGCAAGTGGGAACAGGAGACCCCAGGTCCAAGCTCCATCCTTAGGGCACGAGGTATCCAGGTCCCCAGAGAGACAGGCGAACCCAAAGCCTGCAGCCAATGTGGAGATGTGGAGACCAGGTGCCCAGCTCAGTGCTCTGAGGTCTAGAACTTCCTTTCACAACTACATGGCTGCAGCGTTAGGATGGCCTTATGATGGAGCCGGAGAAACACTCTGGTTGGCAAACAATTACTCTAATTCAGTCATCTGCCAACATTAATACTGGGAGATGCCCCAACCAAAAGACACAGACTGACTGAATGGATACAGAAACAAGACCAATATACATGCTGCCTAGAAGAGACCCACCTCAGACCTAGGGACACATACAGACTGAAAGTGAGGGGATGGAAAAGATATTCCATGCAAATGGAAATCAAAAGAGACCTGGAGTAGCAATTCTCATGTCAGACAAAACAGACTTTAAAATAAAGACTACTACAAGAGACAAGGAAGGACATTATATAATGATCAAGGGATCAATCCAAGAAGAAGATATAACAATTGTAAATATCTATGCAGCCAACATAGGAGCACCTCAATATATAAGGCAAATGCTAACAGCCATAAAAGGGGAAATTGACAGTAACACAGTAATGGTGGGGGACTTTAACACCCCACTTACACCAATGGACAGATCATCCAAACAGAAAATAAATAAGGAAAGACAAGCTTTAAATGACACATTAGCCCAGATGGACTTAATTGATATTTATAGGACAACCCATCCAAAAACAACAGCATACACTTTCTTCTCAAGTGCACATGGAACATTCTCCAGGATAGATCACGTCTTGGGTCACAAATCAAGCCTCAGTAAATTTAAGAAAACTGAATTCTTATCAAGCATCTTTTCCAAGCACAAGGCAATGAGACTAGAAATCAACTACAGGGAAGAAAACATAAAAAACACAAACACACGGAGGCTAAACAATGTGCTACTAAACAACCAAGAGATCACTGAAGAAATCAAAGAGGAAATCAAAAACTACCTACAAACAAATGACAATGAAAACACGATGACCCAAAACCTATGGGATGCAACAAAAGCAGTTCTAAGAGGGAAGTTTATAGTAATACAATCCCACCTCAAGAAACAAGAAAAATCTCAAATAAACAACCCAATCTTACACCTAAAGCAATGAGAGAAAGAAGAACAAAAAAACCCCAAGGTTAGCAGAAGGAAAGAAATCATAAAGATCAGACCAGAAATAAATGAAAAGGAAATGAAGGAAACTATAGCAAAAATCAATAAAGCTAAAAGCTGGTTCTTTGAGAAGATAAACAAAATTGATAAACCATTAGCCAGACTCATCAGGAAAAAAAGGGAAAAGACTCAAATCAACAGAATTAGA